CTTCCCTCTTCCCTCGGCCTAGGTAAACCTGGCCCCAATCCACTCCTGTTGCAAAGCCAGCCGATGTCCCACCACTTGCATGCTCCCTCTCTGACTGTGGTGGCCCACAAGGGCATCTTCTTTCTTCACCCCTGTTAGGTGCTTATCACTTATCCCAAAGACTCAAAATGCAGAGGGAACTGTTTTATTTAAAAAAAGAAAAGAAAAAAGCAGTGGCATGTTATATACATATTAATTATTAATTTATATAGTACATTATGCCTAATATTCTACAAATATTAGCCAATTAATTTACTAATATAACAAGCGGAAACTTAAACTTTGCCTTTGCTGAAATTTCCTATTTAGCCTTCCCCCATTGGAATGTTAATCTGGAGACTGGGAAGCGTTTTAAAGACAGGGCTCATATAATCAGCAGGCTGGACAAGGGCAACCAAATTTAGCATCTGTTTTGAGAGGGACTCCTTCAAAGGACATTTACAGATGAGAAGTCTGAGATTGCTCAGTGAGGCTGCGACTTGCCTGGAGTTGCACTATAGGTCGATGGCAGAGCCACCAGTAAACCCTCATGTTCCTGCATATACCCAGGGGCCCACGAGATGCTCTATCTTGACTGATGATTTTTCTCCTTAGAAAACAGTATAGTCTATGGGGCTCAGACTTCGTTTGTCTTGTTTTCAATCTGAAACCCCAATGATTTTTTTTCCTCCCCAGGGTAGCATACTCTATCCAATAATTTCTTAAGAATTGGCCTCTTTTAGAAATACTCATAGTTTTAAACTTGGCTCAGCCTCCAGAAAGCACTCCTCTAGGAAGCTTTCCATGATGTCCCCATCTTTAGTTAGGGATTCACGCTTCTCTCATACATGGTGCGTGCAATTACTGTTCTGCTGGTGCACAGTAAATACTCAGCAAATGTGTAAACTACACTGATTTGCAGTGTTTCGCCCAAGAGCTTCTAGAAATAGTTGAATAAAGTGTTTACGAAAAGTATGCCTCAACCAAATAGGCAGATTACATTATTAAAAAGAAATACATTAAAATAGACTTATCATGTCTTGCCAAATAGTTTTGTTTTGAATCTCCCTTCTATTTTTTTAGTGATAAGCTATCTAAAACATATATTGGCATCTGGATAGTCCCTGCATCTTCATGAGACATCATCTCTTCAAAGAGATGAAGAATAAGTATGTTCTTGCCAAAATTAAAATATGGAGGGAAGACAAAGACATTCCAACTCAGTGGTGTCAGACATTTTACTGTAGCTGTTTTTCCCCCCACAGTCGTGGCATTCATTCAAATTGAATGTCTCAACTTTATCTTCCCCTGTTTCATTTACTCACAAGAGCTGTCACTTCCCGTCACTTTCTTCTGGTACAAGATGTGACTGAAATAACAGAAAATTCAAGATAAAACTTGGGGGTGTTAGTCAGGAGAGACTAAGTTATGCTTCAGTAACAAATACCACCAAAATCTCAGTGGTTAACATAACAGAAGTTCACTCTTTGCTCATGGGAAGAGCACTGAGAGTCCAGGACAGCTGACCTCCATGTAGTGGCCCAGCATTTCAAGCTGCTTCAACCTTGAGGCACCCTCATGTCACCATGATTGGTTATGGCACTCAGCCTCCTCTCCCTCTGCCATGTACAAATTTGGAAGCTACCCTCCACCAGTAACCACGGTAACCTCGTTGAAGGACTCATCTATCCACCAATGATATTCTCCAAAGGCTGATGTCCTTTTAAAAGACACACAGGTGCTCAGAAGAGCAATAAGCCCTATGGAACTATGTTCTGACTCCAAAGTTTAAAAAATTTCTTACAGATCTACTACACCAGTTATAGTACTTGACTCAAGACACCAGAAAGGCAAATGTCTTTGACTTTAATATGGCATCCCATATTATTATTGCTAGTGCCCATCACCATTTCCAGTCCTCTACTCCATCAGAGAGGATTAGACTTTCCTGCCCTGGGTTAGTTATGCCTATGTGTCTCTTCCAGCCAGAAACACTGAAGAACCAGGGTGCAATTCCCCAGGCTCCCATTCCTGCCACAGCAATATCTACCAAGTCAATTTTTGGCTCACAGAAAGAACAGTAGTGGTTTCATATTGTGATCTCTTGCAACTTTCAGGATTTACTTATAGTCTCAGCAGGAACATAAAGTTGAAGGAAATTGAAGAGTCCACCAAACGTCTGTAGGACTGAAAATGTGGGGGGAGGGGATGCCATATTAAAGTGGAAGACATTTGCGATTCTGATGTCTTGATTCAAGTACTATAACTGGTGTAGTAGATCCGTAAGAAATTTTTTAAACTTTGGAGTCAGAACATAGTTCCGTAGGGCTTATTGCTCTTCTGAGCACCTGTGTGTCTTTTAAAAGGACATCAGCCTTTGGAGAATATCATTGGTGGATAGATGAGTCCTTCAACGAGGTTACCGTGGTTACTGGTGGAGGGTAGCTTCCAAATTTGTACATGGCAGAGGGAGAGGAGGCTGATTGCCATAACCAGTTATGGTGATGTGTTGGGGGTCCCCATGACAGGTGCATTTTATCTACAGACCTGTGTCTGGCCTCCCAAGATTTTTAGACTCTCTGGAGGATGAAGGTATGAGAGGAGGCTGCCGTCACCGTCACTGGCCCCGAAACACATTGCTACTTTTAGTGCTCAACGGGACTGGACTAATCTAAGAGGGTTGGTCCAGGGACAAGAAAGCCACCCTTTCAATCTGTCATTTGCTTTCTTTCTCCCTCCTTTGCCTTAAAATGCACTTTAAAATTTGGAAGTTGTATGAAAAGGCAGTATAATTTTTTTTTGTTTTATCTAGTTATTTTTAAATCGAGGTTATGACAGTTTACAACATTGTGAAATTTCACACGTTGCACATTATTGTTTGTCAGTCACCATATAACTGAGCACCTTCACCCTATGTGCCCACCCCCACTCCCCTTCCCCCGGTAACCACTAAACAATTCTCTTTGTCTATGTATTAGTGTATCTTCCACATGTGAGTGAAATCATACAGTGTTTGTCTTTCTCTTTCTGGCTTATTTCACTTAACACAATACCCTCAAGGTCCATCCATGTTGCGAATGGGACAATTTTGTCTTTTTTATGGCTGAGTAGTATTCCATTGTGTATATATACCATATCTTCCTTATCCATTCATCAGTCGATGGGCACTTGAGTGGCTTCCACATCTTGGCTACAGTGAATAATGCTGCAGTGAACATAGGGGTTCATAAGTTTCTTTGAATTGTTGATTTCAGGTTCTTTGGATAAATACCCAGTAGTGGGATAGCTGGGTTATATGACATTTCTATTTTTAATTTTTTGAGTAATCTCCGTACTGTTTCCCATAGTGGCTGCACCAGTTTGCATTCCCACCAGCAGTGTTTGAGGGTTCCCAAAAAGGCAGTATAATTTTTTACCTGAAGAATCCTGTTAACTAAGGGTGCCATAAAAACTCACATACTAGGGCTGGCCTGGTGGTGCAGCAGTTAAGTACGCATGTTCTGTTTCAGCGGCTCGGGGTTCGTCAGTTCGGATCCTGGATGTGGACGTGGCACCACTTGTCCAGCCATGCTGTGGTGGGCGTCCCACATATAAAGTAGAGGAAGATGGGCATGGATGTTAGCTCAGGGCCAGTCTTCCTCAGCAAAAAGAGGAGGATTGACAGCAGATGTTAGCTCAGGGCTAATCTTCCTCAAAAAAAAAACAAACAAACAAACAAAAACTCACATACTTTCAGTACAACTTTAAGATATTTAAACAGACCCTAAATAAGCCATTTACACTGTTTTAAAGCAATTAAAAGCCTAGTGTCCCAGAGGAACATTTCTCTGACCCTGTCCAGATATTTGCTTTTAGTTGCTCAAAATGTTCAGCAGCAAAACAGTATAGAACAAATTTAAAACAGCATTCCATAAAAACTTCAACAGATGAACCTACTGCGTTACAAGTGAGTAATCACAGTGAGGGGAGGGGGCAAGAAAAGAACTAACCTATGCAACTTTGGAAAACAGGATCTGACCTGAATATTCTCAGGCTAAGGACAAAAAGAATTGTACCTAAATGCTGTAATTTGGTTAGTTAATGTGTTTCTCACAGAAGTATGGGCTAGCAATTCTGAAAGTACTTTGCATACATGGCAGAATTGAACAAACAAGTAAATATATTGTAGATAATGAGAACAAAGTTTCTCGCTGTCCGAGAATGAAGTTATAAATGAGGAAGGACTAAAATGAACCATGTGGTGTTGGCTTAGAATCCGAGGTGTCAGTATAAAATCATAGTTTTTCCTAAGTGTACAGACAGAGAAATATGGATGCATGGGGTAGCGTCCATCATGTATTTCCGAGCTCCGCCTGCTTGCAGGGCCTAGAAGCAATGGAACTCCAGCAGCAGAGCACAGCTAGCATCTCGATCTTGCCTTCTAGACACCATTTTCCAATAAAGGGAACCAGGACTCCTCGGAAAAGTAATTAATTCCAAAGCTGGGGCAGAGGAAATACAAAATGAGCCTGGAACTTCTTGAGAAGCCATAGTGAAGAAACCTGCAGACACCGCCTTAACCAAGCCCTCAAATTAACTTCACCAGTGATGAGCCATCGACATCATGAACCCCTTGTTATGCACTGAGACCGACACAGTAGCATTTCACTGTCCTGAAAGATCCGGGAACAGCAGATGGGGGCAGATGAAGGAAAAGTAACAGGAATGTGGGGAACTGGATGGGATCTTAGAATAGAAAAAAAGACGTCAGTGGAAAAGCTTCTGAAATTAGAATAAGGTCTGCAGTTGTCACTGCCTCCGATCACGGTACTTCAGCTATGTAAGGTGTTAACATTAGGGGAAGTTGGGTGAGAGTATATGCTGAAATTAGTTCAAAATAAAAAATTATAAATAAAATGAAATAAAACATACAAGGTACACAAAACCAAGTATTCCAATTAAAGTAAACTACTCTTTGGTTCTTCCTGTTACACTTTCCACAGCGGAGCGACTTTCAAGCAGCTGGCTGGATGTTCGTCACATTGAAAAGTATGTAGACCAAGGGAAAAGTGGAACGAGAGAATTGCTTTGGTCCTGGGCACAGAAAAACAAGACCATCGGTGACCTTTTACAGATCCTCCAGGAGATGGGGCATCATCGAGCTATCCATTTAATTACAAACCATGGTAAACACTGATTCTTATGAGGTGGCTCTCAAGTCCGTTTTATAGGAATTGTAATTTGTAAATGTAAATATTGCGTTTTATCCAAGAAATTGACTGATCAGGCTGTGTCAGTGATTTCTTACCTCTGGCTTTTATCTGAACGGGGGCTTTGCAGCTTCACTTTTTTGTGTGTGACACTTTCCTTCCTTCTTGCCAAACTTATACAACCGATTCCTTTCTACTACTTTATGGTTTTGGATTTTTCTAAAAGTATTTACTTACAAACTACGCTTTTTTAAATGTTTCATTCTTTGCTAAGAGAATCAGCTCTCTGTCCAAAACTCTGAAAACTCTGAACCACAGACCTAATCAGAATCACAACACGAGAAAAATATAGATAATGCTATAATTTGTTTTACTATGTGATTAGAACTCAAAAGTATCATTGGATTTTCCCTCTGTATTTCAGTGCAAATGATACCTCTGGAATAATCCTGGGATCTCTCTTTTATCTTCAGTGCTGTTTTACTCCATGGCCTCTAACTCTGCCTTACTCGTTTACTATCCATTCCACAGTGGCCTCATTCTTCCCTCTGTTTGTCTTGTGTTTCTGTTACATTTAGAGTAACCTGATACGTAAAGCTCATGAAGCTTTCACCATTCATTCTCTATCAATAAAATAATCTCCTAATGTCACCTGTTCTGTTGATTGCACCCTAGATTTCTTCACTTCAACGAGAATGATCTTAAGTGATTTGGGGTCTTAAGTTCTAGACTCAGGCTCTTAGGTTGGAAACTCTTTTGAATCAGCATCCTTCTTCTTTGGCTCTTTCATCCAGGCATATTGTTAGTTCTGTGTATTTGCACACATACTGTTTGATAATATATTTAGTGCACCCGAGCTTCTACCTTTTCACCCAAAGCTTTCAAACACAAAGAAGAAATCCTGAAGGATTTGTACCAGAAAACTGAAGCTTCAGATTGACTTTAATTTTGTAGATTTTTCGTGTTATTGGGTTATTAGACAGTTCCCAATACGCTTCCATTATGATATTATCTGTCTAACTTGGCTACTCCCTTTTGTCTTTTGCACACTCTCTCTTCCCTTAGTTTCATTGAGCAGAATGCTTCACTATGAAGCTGGCTGATCAAGTAAAATGCAGAGAGTCCCTGGGAACTGTAAACGCAATGCCTTTTCATTATCTGAGCCTTTTCCAGCCACTGAAACCACCCACACGATATAAACTCACACCGATTTGATAGGACACACGGGTATGTTTTATGCTTCAGTGTTCTGGAATAGATTTTAAGGTATCTTTCCACTCTCCAGGTGGTTTATTTATGCAGCAGAGAATGATGTGGACTGTGAGTAAACAGAAATTCCACATTCTTGGTTGCCTCCTGGTCTGTTGCACATGCAAAATTGATTTCACTTTTTAAAATGTGAGATTAGCTAGTTGGTGGAAAGTTACTGCCCTTTGTCCCAGGAAGTAGGTGAATCTGCGATGAAGAGGAGGCCAGCACTTGCTGTGAGTCCTTTGCTGAGGAAAACAGCATTACTTAATTGCAATTTATTGAGTGCATGCTTTGCATTATAATCTTAAAAATGTTAATTGCATAGCTTATTAAAAGCAGCAGCTTGCTGATTCGTTGGGAACGTTACGTGTAGCCTGCTGAACAGGCATCTCCCGTGACCTACTCACTGAGTTAGGACTTGGAGCTCCCAACTGAAAAGGCATCTAAAGATCTAGTTTTTCTTTGTTGCTACCGTGAACAGAGTTATCTGTGATCCAGTAATCGTTTATCCGTCCAAATATCCATTTTTGTCTACCTTTCCCTAAAATCGTTCAGTTTGGTGGGATGATTTTCACTTTAGAGGAATTTTTTGCCCTTCACTTTCCAGCCTCCAGAGATCACTTTGTAGGTTTAGATTTTCTTATGAGTCCTGCTGAGAAAGGCCTTGTATTTCTTCCCAGTCACTATTCCTGCAATCAGGTGGCTGCCACTAGGTGCTTTCGTCTCATCCATAAAACATTCCCGCGGGTCTCAGGATAGAGGCAAGTTGTTCAAGAAACTAGAATCTTCACTTGCCGTCATTATATTCCTGGCATATATGTCCTTACATATCACATTTTGCATTTATATTTCAGTGATCAGCAGTTGTTTTCTAGTTTTGACATGAAATCCACAGCTTTCTGCTGGCTTCTTAGGTGAGCCATTTTGAATCTTCAATTTCATATGACAATGAAGTATTGTCTCTCTTTTTATGAGCAACAAAAGGGCAATGACTTTTAGTTCCCTTACAGCCCCCAAACTTCAAATTTTGTTCTACACAATCATATCTTATTTAGGATGTTTATTTCTTTTTCTTGCCTACTTGCCCTGGCTAGAACCTGTAGTATAATGTTAAATAGAAGTAGCAAAAGGAAACATTCTTTTCTTGTTCCTGATCTAAAAGGGAAAACATTCAGTCTTTCACAATTATGGATGATGTTACCTGTGGGCTTTTCACAGATGCCCTTTATCAAATTGAGGAAATTCTCTTCTATTCCTAGGGTTTTTATCATTTTAGGTCATTGGATTTCGTGGGTTTTCTGGTATTAAGCCAACATTGGATTCCTGGCATGAATCCCATTTGGTCATGTTATATAATTTTTCTCATATGTTTCTGGGTTTGCTGTGCTAATATTTTGTGGAGGATTCATAAGAGTTATTATTCTATAGTTTTCTTGTCGTGTTTTGTCTGGCATTGGTGTTAGGATAATATTGGTCTCGTAGACAGATTTAGGAGTCGTTACCTCCTCTTCTATTTTGGAAGAATTTTTGAAGAACTTGTGTTAAACCTTCATTAAAGGCTTGGTAGAATTCACCTAGCTAGCCCTGGTGGTCTAGTGGTTAAGATTCAGCACTCTGACCACCGTGGCCCAGATTCATTTCCTGGTCGGGGAACCACACAACCCATTTGCCATTGTCTACATATGGTGGCTGCATGTTACAGTGATGCTGAAAGCTATGCCACCGGGATTTCAAATACTAGCAGAGTCACCCATGGTGGACAGGTTTCACTGGAGCTTCTAGACCAGACTAGGAAGAAGGACCTGGCCACCCACTTCTGAAAAAATGGACCACAGAAACCCTATGAATAGCAGAGGAGGATTGTCTGATATAATGCTGGAAGGTGAGAGGATGGCGCACAGAGACTGAGCAGGGTTCTACTGTGCTGTCCACAGGGTCACTAGAAGTTGGAATACACTTGATGGTACCACCACCACCACCAAGAATTCGCCTGTGAAGCCATCTAGACCTCGAATTTTCTTTATGAGAAGTCGTAAAATATTAATTCAATCTCTTACCTTGTTAAAGGTCCATTCAGATTGTTTATTGCTTTTTGAGTTAGTTTCAGTAGTTTGTATCTTTCTAGGAATCTGTCTCTATCATCTAAGTTGTCTAATTTTTTACATACAGTTGTTCATAGTATTCCCTTATAATTCTTTTTATTTCTGTAAGGCTGGTAGTTATGTCTTCTCTTTCGTTTTTTTGTTTTGTTTTGTTTTTGGTTTTAGTGATTTGTGTCTCCTCTCTTTCTTTCTTGATTGGTCTAACTAAAGGACTGTTAATTTTATGAGATTTTCAAGGAACCCATTTTGGTTTCATTGATTTGCTCTTTTGTTTTTCTATTTTCTATTTCATTTATTTCCACTCTAATTTTAATTCTTTCCTTCCTTCTGCTTCTTTCAGTTTAGTTTGCTCTTCTTTTTCAAGTTCCTGAAGGTGCAAGTTTAGGTTATTGATTTGAGATCTTTCTTCTTTTTTAAGGTGACATTTACAGCTATAAATTTCCCTTAAGCACTGCTTTTTCTGCATCCCATAAGTTTTTTTTTTTATTGAGTTAATCATAGGTTACAATCTTTTGTGATTTCAGTTGTACATTAGTGTTTGCCATTCGTGTTGTAGGTGCACCATTTCACCCTTTGTGCCCACCCCCCACTCCACCTTTCCCCTGGTAACCACTAACGTGTTCTCTTTGTCCACATTTTTAAATTCCTCATATGAGTGGAGTCATACAGAGATTAGCCTTCTCTAACTGGCTTATTTCACTTAACATAATTCCCTCAAGGTCCATCCATGTTGTTGCAAATGGGATGATTTTGTTCTGTTTTGCAGCTGAGTAGTATTCCACTGTATATATATACCACAACTTCTTTATCCATTCATCTGTTGATGGGCACTTAGGTTGCTTCCATGACTTGGCTATTGTAAATAATGCTGCAATGAACATTGGGGTGCATAGGACTTTTGGAATTGCTGACTTCAAGCTCTTTGGATAGATACCCAGTAGTGAAATGGCTGGATTGTACGGTAGTTCTATTTTTAATTTTTTGAGGAGTCTCCATACTGTTTTCCATAGTGGCTGCACTAGTTTGCATTCCCACCAGCAGTGTATGAGGGTTCCATTCTCTCCACAACCTCGCCAACATTGGTTACTATTAGATTTAGATATTTTTGTCATTCTAATGGGTGTAAGGTGATATCTTAGTGTAGTTTTGATTTGCATTTCCCTGATGATCAGCGATGATGAGCATCTTTTCATGTGCCTATTGGCCATCCGTATATCTTCTTTGGAGAAATGTCTGTTCATGTCTCCAGCCCATTTTTTGATCGGGTTGTTTGATTTTTTGTTGTTGAGTTGTGAGAGTTCTTTATACATTATGGATATTAAGCCTTTGTCAGATATATGACTTGCAAATATTTTTTCCCAGTTAGTGGGTTGTTTTTTGTTTCAATCCTGTTTTCATTTGCCTTGAAGAAGCTCTTTAGTCTGATGAAGTCCCATTTGTTTATTCTTTCTATTGTTTCCCTTCTCTGAGAAGACATGGTGTCCAAAAAGGTCCTTTTAATACTGATGTCAAAGAGTGTACTGCCTATGTTTTCTTCTAGAAGCCTTATGGTTTCAGGTCTCATCTTTAGGTCTGTGATCCATTTTGAGTTTATTTTGGTGAATGGTGAAAAAGAATGGTCAATTTTCTTTCTTTTACATATGGCTTTCCAGTTTTCCCAGCACCGTTTGTTGAAAAGACTTTCTTTTCTCCATTGTATGCACTCAGCTCCTTTGTTGAAGATAAGCTGTCCATAGATGTGTGGTTTTATTTCTGGGCTTTCAATTCTGTTCCATTGATCTGTGCACCTGTTTTTGTACCAGTACCATGCTGTTTTGATTACTGTAGCTTTGTGGTAAGTTTTGAAGTCAGGGATTGTTATCCCTCCCATTTTGTTCTTTTTTCTCAGGATTGCTTTAGCAATTCGGGGTCTTTTGTTGCCCCATATAAATTTTAGGATTCTTTGTTCTAGTTCTGTAAAGAATGTCATTGGGATTCTGATTGGGATAGCATTGAATCTGTAGATTGCTTTAGGTAGAACAGATATTTTAACTATGTTTATTCTTCCAATCCATGTACATGGAATGTCTTTCCATCTCCTTATGTCATCATCCAATTCTCTCAGAAAGGCCTTGTAATTTTCATTATATAGGTCCTTCACTTCCTTAGTTAAATTTACCCCAAGGTATTTTATTCTTTTTGTTGCGATTATGAATGGTATTGTGTTCTTGAGTTCTTTTTCTGTTAGTTCGTTGTTAGAATATAGAAATGCTACTGATTTATGCAAATTGATTTTATACCCTGCAACTTTGCTGTAGTTGTTGATTACTTCTAAGAGTTTTCCAATGGATTCTTTGGGGTTTTCTATATATAAGATCATGTCGTCTGCAAACAGCAAGAGTTTCACTTCTTCCCTCCCTATTTGGATTCCTTTTATTCCTTTATCTTGCCTGATTGCTCTGGCCAGGACCTCCAGTACTATGTTAAATAAAAGTGGTGATAGAGGGCATCCTTGTCTCCTTCCTGTTTTCACGGGGATGGCACTCAGTTTTTGTCCATTGAGTATGATGTTGGCTGTGGGTTTGTCATATATGGCCAATATTATGTTCAGGTAGTTCCCTTCTATGCCCATTTTGTTCAGAGTTTTTATCATAAATGGCTGTTGGATCTTGTCAAATGCTTTCTCTGCATCTATTGAGATGATCATGTGGTTATTATTCCTCAGTTTGTTGATGTGGTGTATCACGTTGATTGATTTGCAGATGTTGAACCATCCCTGTGTCCCTGGTATGAATCCCACTTGATCATGATGTATGATCCTTTTGATAAATTGCTGAATTCTGGTGGCCAAAATTTTGTTTACAATTTTTGCATCTATGTTCATCAGTGATATTGGCCTGTAGTTCTCTTTTTTCATGGCGTCCTTGTCTGGCTTTGGTATCAGTGTGATGTTGGCCTCATAGAATGTGTTAGGAAGTATTCCATCCTCCCTAATTTTTTGGAATAGCTTGACAAGGATAGGTATTAAATCCTCTCTGAAAGTTTGGTAGAATTCCCCAGGGAAGCCATCTGGTCCTGGAGTTTTATTCTTTGGGATGTTTTTGATTGCTTTTTCAATCTCTTTCCTTGTGATTGGTCTGTTCAAATTGTCTGCTTCTTCTTGAGTGAGCTTTGGGAGATTGTAGGAGTCCAAGAATTTATCCATTTCCTCTAGGTTATCCATTCTGTTAGCATAGAGTTTTTCGTAGTATTCTCTCATAATCCGTTGTATTTCTGCAGAGTCTGTTGTTATTTCTCCTCTTTCATTTCTGATTTTGTTAATTTGAGCTTTCTCCCTTTTTTTCTTTGTAAGTCTGGCTAGGGGTTTGTCAATTTTATTTATCTTCTCAAAGAACCAGCTCTTTGTTTCATTGATCCTTTCTACCGCCTTTTTTGTTCCAATAGTATTTATTTCTGCTCTGATTTTTATTATTTCTCTCCTTCTGCTGACTTTGGGCTTTGTTTGTTCTTCTTTCTCTAGTTCAGTTAGGTGTAGTTTAAGATTGCTTATTTGGGATTTTTCTTGTTTGTTAAGATGTGCCTGTATTGCGATGAATTTTCCTCTTAATACAGCTTTTGCTGTATCCCATATGAGTTGGTATGGCATGTTATCATCTTCATTAGTTTCCAGGTATTTTTTGATTTCTTCTTTAATTTCTTCAATGATCCATTGCTTGTTCAGTAGTGTATTGTTTAGTCTCCACATCTTTGTGCCTTTCTCAGCTTTTTTCTTGTAATTAATTTCTAGCCTTATAGCATTATGATCAGAGAAGATGCTTGTTATTATTTCAATTTTTTTAAATTTGTAGAGGCTTGCCTTGTTTCCCAACATATGGTCTATCCTTGAGAATGTTCCATGTGCACTTGAGAAGAATGTGTATTCTGCTTTTTTAGGGTGAAGTGATCTATATATGTCTATTAAGTCCAATTGTTTTAGTTTTTCGTTTAGCTCCACTATTTCTTTGTTGATTTTTTGTCTGGATGATCTGTCCATTGATGTGAGTGGGGTGTTGAGCTCCTCTACTATTATTGTGTTGTTTTTAACATCTTCCTTTAGGTCTGTTAATAGTTGCTTTATGAACCTGGGTGCTCCTATGTTGGGTGCATAGATATTTATAAGCGTTATTTCTTCTTGATGAAGTGTCCCTTTGATCATTATATATTGTCCCTGTGTGTCTCTCTTTACCTGTCTTATTTTGAAATCCACTTTGTCTGCTATAAGAATTGCAACACCTGCTTTTTTTTCCTTGCTATTTGCTTGAAGTATTGTCCTCCACCCCTTCAGTCTGAGCCTGTATCCCATAAGTTTTGATATGTTGTGTTTTAATTTTCATTCATCTAAAAGTATTTTCTAATTTCCCTTGTGATTTCTTCTTTGACTCACTGGTTATTTGTGAGTTGTTGTTTAATTTCCATATATTTGTGAATTTCCCAAATCTCCTTCTGTTACTGATTTCTACTTTAATTCCATGTGGTCAGAGAATATGTTTGGTATGATTTCAATCCTTCCAAATTTACTGAAGCTCATTTTATTGCCTAACATAGGGTCTATTTTGGAGACTGTTCAGTGTGCATTTGCAAAATATGTGTATATTCTTCTGTTTTGTTCTATAGATGACTATTAGGTCTAATTTGTTTATAGTGTTGTTCAAGGAAGTTTGTTATTAATTGATTATGTTTTGTTGCCAGTCTTCTAAGCAAAATAATTTAAGAAACATTAGAACACAATCTAAGAAAAACTAGAAGATGAAATAGAATTTTTCTAAAGCCTGAACCAAAATGTTAGAAGTGATGGCAAAATATTGCAGGGTTTTAATCTTTTAGGAAGCTACACAGACTACTTCAGCCCAGACACAACTATAACAGACAGAAGTTATAGTCTACAACTGGGGAGGGGTGGTGGGTGTTTGTGGTTGATAATACACACACACATAGACACACACACACACACACCTCTAATACCTTATGGCACAAGATGGGATAAAAAAAAACTAAGGGAAGTATAATCCCATAACTGTAAAAATTTGAAATATATGTACAAAAAGCTGATAACAGTGTTGCTTTATTCTTTCAATTTTTGGCTTTATACTTTAATATTTGTAATGATGTCTAACAATAATTTAAGGTAGGTATTAATTTTTAAATGAACAAAAGTGTGTTTGTTATAATATTTGCCATTAGGAAGCTATTCACATATGTACATTTGTAACCATTCAATGGAAATGACACTGAGCTTTAGAAATGGACATCACTATCAAGGTGTTTATTTTCATAATCTAAGAAGGAAAGAAAAACATGTTTATTAGGAACACAGAATTTTTCTTGTATCCAGCTCCCCTTATTTCTCTTTCAGGAGCAGCCTTGAATCCTTCAGAGCAGAGTCACCTGGGAGATGGATTTCCAAGCATGTTACCCAAGGTAGAGTATGTGTGCATAGATGATGACCCTTGAACTCTGTTGCATATATAATTGAGCATAAAGAATGAAATTATCAGATAGAAAAATGCTGCATGTGCAAATACTGTTTTAAAACCAGAAAAGCCTTAGTTCTTTCGTTATTCTTTGTTTAGTTGGGGATTCAGGAAATTAGAGCTTCGTAGCTGTTTGAAGCATTGAGAGCTTTCTCCTCTCGGCGTTCTGTCAGAGAGGACCCTTAGAACTATTAAGAGTGTTCTGAGTTACGCCTTTGTCTTAACTCAGCTTTTAATTCTGCTGTTCTAGGTGGCGTTCTGCATGTTGCTGTTATTTGTTATTAGAGCAAATTAGCAGTGATCATTTTTATAGCAGTAGAAGTCATTTAAAATTGACTGTAGGGGCCAGCTCCGAGGCCGAGCGGTTAAGTTCGCGGGCTCCGCTGCAGCGGCCCAGGGTTCGGATCCTGGGCATGGACATGGCAATGCGCGTCAGGCCACGTTGAGGCGGCATCCCACATCCCACAACTAGAAGGACCTGCAACTAAGATATACAACTGTGTACGGGGGGGTTTGAGGAGATAAAGCAGAAAAAAAAAAAAAAAGAAGATTAGCAACAGTTGTTAGCTCAGGTGCCAATCTTTAAAAAAAAAAAAATTGACTGTAATGGACTATGACATTGATACTTGAGTTTTTAGAGTTGGTATGGAAGCCTTAAATATATATGGCAATGAATACTATTGAATGAAGTGAATAACTTTGCTTTCTACTAGCTTTCTCCTAAATTAGATTCCACTCTACTGCACTGTATAGTCCCAGGGGAGCTTTGGATTTCTGTTGAGGTTCTCTTCTTTCTGGACTTATGAAGTGGAATTACTTTAATATGTGTTTCTTCTCTTAGGAAACAACCAATGTCACAGTGGATAATGTTCTTATTCCTAAACATAATGAAAAAGGTAAGAAAAAAACCAAAAACCCAACTTTTCTTTAAATCATGCTTTCCTTTAAGTGAATTTAGTGGGAGAAATATTCAATCAACATATTAACTATTCATTATTATGCAGATTCACAATAAAATTTTCATGGATCTCGAAACAGTCACAATTTTGACTGACACATGGTTCTGATGGGTGATATGTTATTGTCATGTTAAAAATCCATGGGCCAATGAGGAACATACTTGTGGTTTCTTCACTTAAGGGGATTTCTTATTTTCTGTTAGTGAAATTTGCTATTTTTATGTGTCATGGGAAAACATTTAAAAAATTACGTTGGGCTTTATATAGTTTTAGAAATTTTTGTAGCACTTGCTGTGCTCTTTAGAGATGTGTGAAGAGCAATGCTGAAGGTCACTATGAAAATCCAGTTCTTTTCCATATCAACTTTCCTACTTTATTAGCAGGGAGAATAATTGAGTTCTCCCTGAGAATCATCCTGATGAGCTTTAATGGCTAGTTAAGGCTGCCTTGCCTAATCTTTGCCACTAGATCTGATGCTTCTTTGGTTCCAAAGAGAACTGGAAAAGTTAGACAAGGTTTTGGTCCTTTGAGGTTTAGCAGTAAGGTCTAAGTCAAACATGAATTGTGGAAATAGAGCCAAAATTGGGCTCGGAGGGATTAAGCCAGGCTTTTCCCTTGGAATTTGTATTTGATTACCTTTTAAACGTTTTCTCCCAATCTCTGCTTTAGATGAATTTTTAAAAAGCTGAAGCATCTTCCTTATTTACTCTGAGGAAATAAGTTAGGCGTTTAGAGGATTTGGCTCATGAAAAATGTTTCTGTTGGTCATGCATGGGGAGTATTGTTTAGTCATATCAAGATTTGCACTTTGGTAGTTTTTTTTTAACTGGTTTTAGGTCCATAGTGGGTCAACAGGAATCTGTTGATCTAATGATGAGGACACGGAGTCTTGGACAAGTTTCCCTCACTAAGCTCCTCAGCTGATCTCTTTGGGAAAGTGATAGAATCAGAGTGCTGTTGTTCAAATACCTAAAAAGCCATTTGCTGTGTGGAATGGCGGAGACAGACCCGAGTAAATGTGCAGAGAGCACACAGTGGGTGGCTTGCTCAGTTTGGCGGGCTGGGCCTTGCTCTCCTGACTTTCCACTGGGCTCTGATGGATTTCCTCTATGGAAGTCCTGGTTCTTTCTAATTCTTTCTAATGATGGCCTTGATTCTTAAAAAGAGAAAAGTAACTTATTTTTTCCCTACTTTCCTTCCTAAGGAATATTGTTTAAACCTTCTATCAGCTTTCAAAACATCACAGAAGGAACCAAAAATTTCCACAAAGACTTCCTAATTGGAGAAGGGGAGATTTTTGAGGTGTACAGAGTGGAGATCCAAAACCGAACGTATGCCGTTAAATTATTTAAACAGGTATGGAAAGAATTACTATCGCAGGATATCGCCTCCATTTATTTGCTCATATTTCATATAGAACGTGTCATTTTTCATCAATGTTGAAAGGAGGTGTATTTGAAAATAAAATTTCATAAATGGAAATAAGATATATGACCTCAGGTGACTGGAGAAATGACTGAGAAATGAATGCATGTCTTGCAGGAATGTGGAAGTTAGATCCGTTCCATCCCCAGATGTACTGTATGGGAAAGACTTTTCTGAAAAGCTTTGTAGGACCTTCGGGACTTTGCTTAAGATGGTCAGATTGTGCTGGTCTGCTCCAGTTTTCATGGTTTTTAGGATGGGCAGTGTCTTCTCCAGGCAGCTTCACAGGCAATGCAACAGGTCAGCATTCGGTGCTCCTCGATACATTATCTTCTATCACAGGTCACATGGATAGGAAGGTAGGAAGAGATCAGACTAGGAGGTTAGGAAACACTGGGTGACTGCAGCCAGCAAAGCAGAAAAGGTATGGATCAAACTCAGGAGTCAGGAAGAGATAAGGGTGCATACACCCAGAAGAATGCTCATTGTGTCCTCAATTGTTAGTCAACAGTCAATAAAGCTTTACTAAACTTCTGTGGCTGAGGGCTGAGCACGCAAAGACAAATGAAGCGTAGTTCCGTCCTCAAGGAGCTCTCCGTTATGGGGGAAACAGCCAGCTAAAGATTCAACTGCGGTGTGAGAAGTACTTTAGCAGAGATTTATCCAAAAGGGAGCATGTAAAAGATAGCCGCAGGAGGGGCGCATCCAGCACCCGGAAGGATGCCTGGCACAGAGTAACCCTCAATGAACATTTCTGCAATAAACAAATGGAAAAGTGGATGAAAGGAAGTGACCTTTCAACTGGATTTTGAAGGATGAGTAGAATTTTGGCAGGCAGTGAGGGAGAAATAGCAGGTGCAAAGGCCTAAAGGAGCAGGCATGAACACGTGTGTCTTACTCATGGATAACAGATCATTCAGTAGAGTAGAGTTTAGTGTTGGGGGTGGGAATGTAGTGACAAAAGATGATACTGGAAAGATAGATTAAGTCCATGGATGGTTTCTAAGTAGGAGAGGGAAAGGACTAGCTTTGTGTTTTTGAAGTACAACTTTATTCCAGGTTAGATGATGGACTGAAGGTGCAGGAGATATTGGAGGAAAGACGGCAAGAATAGACTGGAGGCAGAAAGACGTGGTAGAGTGATATTTCCGATGTGTAAACTAAGACATGGATAAGGCTTACACCAATGTCCTCAACTCTAACATTCAAAATCACTAAGGAGCTTCTAAAAAATGAGCCCGTTAGCATCCGGTTAGGTCAGAGTAGTGGTGGGGAGGCAGGCATCAGTACTTTTAAAAAGCTTCCCAGGTGGTTGAGATGTGTAGCCAGTGTTGATCACCACTGAGCATCAGAACAGACGCAGTGGGGATGATGAGGAGCAAGTCAGCCTAAGAGATGACATGACATGGACCACATCTGGTGACCTGTTAGATAGGGCTGGGAAACGGGGCGGGAGGAGGGATCTAAGGTGAGTCTTATTTTGCAGCTGACATTACAGGGTCTTTTTTTTTTTAAGAAAAAATATTAACCTGATTTCTCTATTTCCCCAAGTTGCATTTTGCCACTAATTCTATATAAACATCTCAAGATTCCTGAGAAGATGAATGGTCTAATAAAGTCATGAAACAATCGACTGGTAAAACTATTCAACAGAAAAAACGTGGTTGCTTGAGAGGAGGCCTAACTGAAACCTGTCTCTTAGGGCCGGTGTGTTCCTGGCCCCATTTGTACATTCTCTTATGGTTGAGCCCAGGGCCATCTCCCCAAAGGCTCCATCCATCCACTTTCCTCGTCTCTCTGTAGCTGCCACCAACTCACACTCTCTTCTGGGGGTTTTCTTTCCAGGCATCTGGCTTCAAAATGGGATGTCTTTGCCCCTAGATCTCCTTCCCTTCCTGTTCCAAGATAATCATCATTTCCTTGATTGCTTCCAACCCCTCCAGTATGGTTTTTGTGACCCTCTTAAGTGTAGCCACAGGATCATAGCATTATCTCGTAGTACATATTGATTTCTCCATGCACCTCTCCCAATAGATGAGATGGTTTTCTTTAAAGAGCTCTTGTTTATGTTTGTATCCCAGAGCCTTATTATAGGGCCTGGCCTGTTGTCATTGCTCAATAAATGTTTTTGGATGAATTGAGTGAAGTACATATGTCCTTTTCATGAATTTAGTTACTGATCACTAGTAGTCAAAAGACAGGAGGGAACAAAATTACTAATGACCTAGAGACTGTACAAAGTCCTACACGCAAACACACACACACACACACAAACTTGTCAGGAAAGCTGAGATGATTTAATGAAGCCTTAGTCACAGAGCATTTCTTACAAGAAGCGCAGTTTTGTGCCACTGGGTCGTTAACTTCCATAACCTTTCTCAGAGGGAATGTACTAGATTTGTTAGACTGGTGCATCCACATCACCTGCAGATCCTCTGACGCTGTGGATTCTGATTCAGCACATTTGGGCAGGAAGCTGAGATTCAGCGTTTCCCGCCAGCTCCCAGTGAAGCTGACGTTCCTCGTGCTCAGACCACACTTTGCGTAGCAAGCGTGCTGGGTTAGCATGAACACGCAAACCAGCCCCTTCATTTTCCCGATTAAGAGAACTGACCTCAGGAAGGTTAAGTGAGAAAAAGTCACAAATAGTGAGTGTCAGAGATGGGCCTGAAACCCAATCCACTTGGCTCCCAGGTCAAGGGTTTTTGAAAATATAAATTCTCATAAAGTGGTCCTTGAAAATGATTTGTTAGCCTAGTTTATTGTTTCTGACTTCCTGGATTAACTTGGAAAATAGCTTCCAGAATTCCTGTTGGATTTCTCTCCCTTTCTTCCTGAGGACAGAGAGCTCTACAAACTGCCGGGTCCCACAGCTTGCAAATGACAGAACCTCACAGCCAAGGGGCTTGGGAGTGCTCTTAATTTAACCCTTTCGTGGTGGGAGTTAGGCATCTGAGATTCAGAGACATGCAGTGGTCTCAGGCATAAGAAGCCATCGAGGGCAGTGCCCGGTACAGGGTAGATGCTCAGTACAACGTTACTGAATTCTTTATTTTATTCAGTAAATATTCGTGTGTCAGGCACTGGGCTAGCTTCTGAAGCCTCCTTGAAGTAAGGAGTGATATTTTTCATTTGCTTCGTAAGCCCATGTTTTCAAAATTAGTACAAAGGTAAACTTGAACCAACACATGCAAATGACCAAGTCATAAATGCCGAGTTAGTGTAATCGCTTCTTACCGGAACACAGCTATTACGAACTGGATTCTTTGTGAGGTCAAGTGGGGAGTTTCTAACTGTCATGGGATTTTCTTTGAATACAAATAACATTTTTGAATTTGTGTAAATGTGTGCAAAATATGGTGAAAGAGTTTGAATATAAAATATGACAACATGGTACATTGCATAAAAAACTTTTAATTCAAGAGCAATGGTTCTAGTAACGAACTATAGAAATGGCCCCTGAAAGCACAGCCTGAGAGCGGTGGTTCTGATTGTTTGGGGTTAATGGATATTTGAAAATCTGATTAAAGCTAAGGATCCTCTCCCCAGAAAAACATTCATTTGCGTTTACACCAAAAACTTGATCTAATTTCAGGGAGACTGTAGACTCTGAGTTAAGAATCCCAGAAATAGAGATCTTTTCCTGAATTTTTTTCTTGTGTTTCTGTGTGATATTTAGGAGAAAAAAATGCAATGTAAGCAACAATGGAAGAGCTTTTTATCTGAGCTTGAAGTTTTACTACTGTGAGTATCTCTTGTCTGGAATTTCTCCCTTTGTGCCTGGTTTTCATCTTTGATTCTGCAGCTCCGAGCTTGGCGTGGTTGGCATGTCATAACTGCCGCTTGGATAGTACAACCTTGGGTAAATTTTTGACATCTGCCTTGGTATATTCCTTAGAATACATTTTAAAGTAGACCATTTACATAATTCGCTCGAACATGTTTTAACAAGAAACTGTCACAAGGAAGTGGGTTAAATCATGTGTGACTAACATGGCTGAATGTAAAGTAATTCTTAGAACATTAGAATTGTATATATTTTACCGTTTCCCCTTCCTTAGAGACATTCCAGTAAAGAAACTGTTTCATCAGGATAACCCTCTTCAGGAAGAGAGATTTAGACAAAGAAATCAAGTGCTTTTGATGTGCATATTATTTTCTGGGAATTCATTCATGCACCTAGGAGTCCTTGGAGACAAAGGAGAATGACTTCATTTTCTTATATATTCATCTCTGCAGCTGTGCAGCCGGCCTCATCGAGGGCCCCTAACCCTATAGAGTTCACTCATCACCCTTTATGAAGAGAAAATGTTCTTTTCAGATGTTTTCTAAACCAATATGTGAAGTGGGGGTTGGGGAAGGCATTACACAAAATCCTTCTCCTTTTACATCCAGGGCCGGAAAATCATAAAAACTTAATATATATCATTTAGTCAACAAAAAACTATACCAAGATTGGAATAGTAGAGGGTTTTTATATTTAAGCTTTATTTATTTGCTTTTTGGCTCCCACCAAAAAGAAAAAAGTAAAATGAAAAATAAAGCTTAGGTGTTTTTGGTGAAGTTCGAACATTTCAAAATTCCCAAATTGCAAAAGGGTAAACCAAGAAAAGATTTTCATCCACTATTACCATGCAGCCACCCAGCTGATTTCCCCAAAGGCAAGAGAGTCATCAGTGTCTTGTGTATCTTTCCGCGGATATGTTATACATAAGCATATATATGTTTTGTTTTCTTATTTTCCTCTTGTCGCACAAGAGGTAGTGTAAATACATTGTTCTCGTTCTTATTTTAGTATTCTCTGGTGTGCTGTGTTGTGATTTAATCATCCATTCTCCTATTGATGCATTTTTAGATTTTTTTCTAATTTTTTATTATTAAAAAATAGTGCTGAAACAGGAAAACCTTATATATATGTTATTTCATACCTGTTTGAATATATCTAAGATAAATTCTCGTACATAAAATTATAGGACCAAATGGTTATGTGCATTACATATTAACGAATTGTCCTCCAATAGAAGTTATACCAGTTTACACTATGCCAGTTATACGGGAGACTGCCTGATTCCCCAGATTCTCATCAACACAGTGTTATTCTTAACTTTTAACTTTTGCCAGTCCACTAAGTAGAAATGGTTTCTCAGTGAAGTTTAGATTTCTTTTTCTATTATGAATGAATCTTTTCACATATAAGGAGATATATTTCCCTTTCTATGACATATATGATAATATCCTTTGCCTATTTTTTAATTAGGCTGTTGGTGTTTTTCTTTATGGCTTATAGGAACATTTTATATATTAGAGAAAGTTAGCCCCGTTTTTATGTTACAAGATACAAATAATTTTTTACCAGATTGTCATTTGTTCTTGCTTATTCTAGTTTTTGCCATGTGGAAATGGTTTTCGTGTAGTTGAAATTTAATCTATATTTTCTTTTATGGATTCTGGGTTTTATATCATAGTTTAAAAGGCCTTCCCCACTGGAAGGTTATAAAATGATTCAGCCATTTTTTTTCCAAACACTTTTATGATTTCATTTTGTACAGATATATATCTGATCCATTTGGATTTCTTCTGGTGAGGTACTTACATATTAATTTAGAGAGGGTTCACACCTCCACGACGGTGAGCGTTCAGGGTGTGCCATCATTACTATTTATATTGCTAATGTTTGTTTAGTTCTAGGCCCCACACCAAATGCTTCCCATGTAACGATTCTTTAATCCTCACAACAATCCCCATTTTGCAGTTAGGAAACTCAGGGAGATCCTACTTTTTTACAGGATGCATCTTGTTGCCTAAAGCATCTTGGGTCTTCCTCTCCTCGGACGTTTACCCATGAGTCAGTCAGATGCAGCCTTCTCCTTGCAGAACATACTGTCTGCAGTGGGATCAGGCGAGAAATACTCAAGTAAACAGGCAGGTGCAGTAAACTAAGTGCTAAGCTGAGGAGGCACAGAGCCAAAGAAGGAGGAAATGGTAACTTGTGGGGAGGGCAGCCGAGTAGGCGTCTTGGAAAAAGTAACATCTAAACTGAGACTTGAGGAAGAGTTGTTTTCATTTAATATTAAGGGACCTACTTAATCCCAGTGCCTTTAAATAGAATTGTGAACTCCTTAGCTAGTGGCTTCTGATTCTTTTTTTTCCACCTTCCTCAAGGGAAGGGATGGGAGCTGACAATTTTTGAGGACCTGGCCCTTGCCTAAAGGTTCCACCTTTCATTCGATTTCCATAAGAATCTCGGGAAGTGGGTCTTTTGTCTACTTCCATAACCTGAGTGGTTTAAACAACAGAGATTTATTTTCTCACAGTTCTGGAGGCTGGAAAGATCAAGGCAGGTTTGCTTCCTGCTCACGGCTCTCCTCCTTGGTCTTCTTCATGACCACCTTCTTGGTCTTCACATGGTGGAAAGACCGGGGGCAGACTTCTGGTGTTTCTTCTTATAAGGGCACCAATCCCCTCCTGAGGGCCTCACCCTCATGCCTCATCTAACCCTAATTATCCCCCAAAGTCCTCATCTCCAAATACCATCACATGGGGGTAGGGCGTCAACAGATGAATTTGGTGGGGGACACAGTGCAGATCGTAGAGAAGAAATAACTTGCCCAAGTTCACACAGTGGGTAAAAAGAAGACCAGAGATTCAAACCCAGGTTTGTCTGAGGCTCAAACCTTTCTGCTGTCCCACATCAGGGTGCCTCGGATCCTGTTTTATCTGTACTAGACACTCAGAAGTACTTGTTGAATTGATTTCAAAAGGTGTCAGATCTGCTGACCTTCAGATCTATAATCTAAAATCCCATTGACTTAAAAATAAAGGATGGGTGAGATGGGTCCATAGACTCATTTTCTGCTTGCTTGGTAATATTTTAAAATAAGCAAATGGTCATTCTGCTCTGTGAGCAGGAGAGCAGAGCCCCAGGCCATGGCTGTGTCTATATGAGGTCTGCTATTTACTGCTTTCCAAAAAATTTCTCTCTCTGAAATATTTTAAGTTGCAGGAGAATCAACCAACTAGTGGAATAGATTAGCTCCTTAAGCAGCCAAGTACACTAGCTCAATTCCTTTTCAGCTGTTTGCTTTTCATCATATAGATATGGTCTGAATCATAACAGGTATAAGGATCTTGTGTCACAGAACTTCTTTACATATTTAGAAATGAAAGTCTCTCTCTGTGTTTGAGGAAGGAGGAATAGAAAGAATCAGAAGACGTATATACGTGTATATATGGGAGCCATAGATGTAAGCGTATGTGTGTGGTATGTGTTTTATAGGAAAGTTTTGATACTGAAGAAACAAATAATAGAACCTTTTTTTAAAAAAAAAACCCAACAGCTTTATTTATTTTTAATATCCCCAAGCATGCCTAGGACATAAAAGGTGTTCAATAAATAACTGTTGAATTGAACTGAGTTCACAGTGTGTGTGAATTTCACCTGTTTTATATTTCTTAATTGTTACCTGCATCCCATTGGTTTTCACAGTGATGACGCATGCATTCAGGAAATAGAGTGTTTAAGGAAAGGAGCTTGAAAAATATATATTACACTGACGTAGAATTCTGTGATTAAAATCGATAATGTGTTTGTCAACATCAAACTTTACTGGTCACGTGGATTTTCAATAACCATACATGCTTTGTGAAAACATTGGAGGTCTCTTAGCTGTGTGAATGGTGCCTCATACGGTATCTGACACCGTAGTCCTCAGTAAACGGATGAATAAAAACAGTCTTCTCTACTCTATTCTGGTGCCTATGCTTACACATCTGTGCCTAAAGCAATGAAATGGGTCATTTCTGTTGCATTATCTTAATTTATTTAATTAATAAGTTATACTGAGTTTCATGTTGATAAAACTAAGTTAATATAAAATATTGTTGTCTATGTGTTGTAAAATTCCCAACATCCCAAATCTTAAGAATGCTTTACTTTCTTAAATTTTCTGTATTATATTTGGATATTTTATTTATATTTGCATGATCATAATCAATCAGAGTGGCTAGTATTTGTCAGAACGCTTAGACCAATTTGGAAAACAAATCTGTGTCACGTGTCTGGTGAAATTACTTCTCACTTAGTCAAATTTATATTCCGCTTTAGACCAGTTCCCCATCTCACTTCATCACTCCCAACCAGAGTGTTATTCATTTCCTATTTGAATAAACAATTTGATGGATTTAAAAATCTTTTGTTTCAAGGTTTCATCATCCAAACATTCTGGAGTTGGCTGCATATTTTACAGAGAGTGACAAGTTCTGCCTGGTTTATCCGTATATGAGAAATGGGTCCCTTTTTGACAGACTGCAGTGTGTAGTAAGTCCTGTCTATCACTCTGCCCGATGCCCTGACCCTCTGAAGCCCCGGGGGGAGCTGCTGAAACCTTCTGAGAGCCGGAGGCCAATGAGTGTCCGCACGAGGGGATAGGCAACAATGGGTTTCCCAAGAAAGCAGAGGACGCCTCCATAAATTAACTTCTTATTCTTAGAAGGCTGCATAAATATCTGAGTTATTGTGTGTTGTGCAACATAATGGCCAAAAGATTTGCTGGTCTTTACTCTTTATTGATTCTGTTTTTCAAATGAGTTTGCATCAACTACCCTTATTTCTCAGATACTTCTTATGTGCATAACTTTGCACAAAGTACCGTTCAATACAAAGGAGAGATATAAAGGGGATACCGACTCCTTGCAGAGAAGGAGGTGGAATAATTGCCATGATTTCTCACAAGATGTTTTTGAAAGCTAAGGTTAAAAATTGATTCCAAATAGATTGTTTCAGTTAAGATGAGCGTAAAAACAGATTATTCTCAATTACCCAAACTATCGTGCCACAAATAACTTTAAAATCTTACTTAATGAAACTTTAAACACAGTTACCTTACTAGCCATATTTTGATTAAGCTTATTTTAAAATTATCGGGTCTTTCCATTGGTTATAAAGAGGCCTAGAAAGGTCGTCAGTAGTAGAGGAAAACTTACCTTGAATTAAAAACAGGTTATGGCAAACCAAAATGTTGACTCACCCCCTCCCCTCACCGTATGCTTCTACTCTGGCATACTTCTATGGGTTTTGCTCAGAAAGTGCAACCAAACCATCTACTGTGTCTTTTTAGGGTAACACAGCCCCGCTCTCTTGGCACATTCGAATCAGTATCTTAATAGGAGCGTGCAAGGCCATCCAGTATTTGCACAACATCGAGCCGTGCTCAGTTGTCTGTGGCAGCATCTCCAGGTAAGTGAGCCCAGTGCTTTAGGTTGCTCCCGAAAGCCCTTTTCTTCATCACGGGTGAGTCACCCCTCACGCTATTTTCTGTCCATAGTTTCCCTCGTTAGGCATGTGCTCGTGTGAAGAACTCTCATCTAAGCATTTAAAATCTTACCTTTTTATTAATGAAAGTGTGTCTACCAAATTTAAAAAGCTACATTTGTGTTGCCAAAGGGAAAGTTTATATTATCTTTGGGAATTATTAATGAATAATGTAGGATAGACAGATTTGTGTATTTTATTAATTATGCCTGATCCCAAACTGTGGAATGAGTCTATATTCATCTCCCTTTTCTCTTTTTGACTGAGGTTTAAGGAACGGTTAAGTGACTTATAGAGGGATTCCTAGCAAGAGGACGGTAGTAAACGCAATTAAAACTCTTGGTCCTTGAGTCTCCAGTGTCTTGCTGATTGCACTGCACCTGCTGCCCTCGAGCTTTATGTGTTCTTCTGTGCTAGCCGAGCGGCAGCTCCAGAGTTTGTTTTTGAGACATGAGAAAATCAGAAGCAACATCTTCCATCTTTCTTCTTCTTCAGTAGACATAGAGAATCATTCCGACAGAGAGTGCGTCCCCTGTAGCAACCCCCTGGTGAGTTTCCCTTCATCTTGACCCTGTCCAAGAGCGGGTAAATACACCTTTGCTGAATAGCAGGGAAGACTGCGTTTAAAAGGCTGCCGCCTCTTCTGAACCGTCTCCCAGGATCTTGAAAAAACCTTTGAGTGTGCTTTTAAGTTGAGCAGAAGAGGGACTGATTACTTACTTCTTTGTTTTTCTGGTTAAATGAACTCCACGTAAAAACATGAGATTTTCGCTCGGTCCTGGGAGACCAGGGGGAACGACCCTTCGCTGCCTGCCCCTGCTGCAGGGTGGTAATTCACCAACTGCTAGTGGCCCAGAGAAGCAGCACAACATCGCTGCACCTCGTGGACCTGGGACAAAGATGGACAGTGAAGGTCCAGGGGTCGGTGGAATGAACCCCTGGGGTCAGTTCCAAAGGGCTGAGGTGGCCCCGCAACCTGAAACATCCCCTCCTCCACACAGCTCACAACAGGCTCGGCGTAGCAGGTGCTCAAATGTATGTTTTCACTGAGCGAATAAATAAATGCCTAGAATATTGCTATACATAGTCTTCCTTTGTGTAAAGTGAGCATGAGCTTATTTTCAATAAGCCAAGGATTAAGTACTAACGTATTAATTAAGCGTTAACACATTAATTTTATTAATTTTCCTGTGGTGTGACTGAGTCTGTCAAATCCTTTCCTGAAAGCGTAGCTCGACAGGAAAGGAGGGTGAGAAGGGAGAGTGTCGAGGTTCTGGTACTTGATGGGGGAGGGGGGCGGGGAAGGCCACCGACTGGGGCAGAGGGACCCTCAGGGTGGAGGGTGCAGACCCAGGCTCCGCCTGCACCACCAGGTCTTCTGCAGCTCCCACCAGGGAGGAGATAGGCCCGTGCCCCTCCGGCGTCTCCCCTGGTCTTAGGCTGGAGCACAGGCTGTGGCCCTGAGTTCTGCTTTCTCATTGTCAGGTAGTGTCTGCACGCAGGTTCCCAGGAAATAGGCTCAGAGGCCGAGGTGTGCCTGCAGGAGACTCTTCAGAGTGCTCTCGGGAACAACAAAAATCAGGGAGGGAAGGGGTCTGGCCCCATGGCCGAGTGGTTAAGTTCGCGCGCTCCGCTGCAGGCGGCCCAGTGTTTCGTCGGTTCGAATCCTGGGCGCGGACATGGCACTGCTCGTCAGACCACGCTGAGGCAGCGTCCCACATGCCACAACTAGAGGAACCCACAACGAAGAATACACAACTATGTACCGGGGGGCTTTGGGGAGAAAAAGGAAAAAATAAAATCTTAAAAAAAAAAAAAAAAAAAAAAAGTCAGGGAGGGAAGGAGGCAGGCAGCATGGGCCTCAGGGTTTTGTGCCCCGGCATCCAACCCGCCCTGAGTAGGGCTGTCACCTGGGTGAGGCAGCTTCCTTCCCCCAAGGGCAGGTCCCAGTTGGGGCTCTGCTATGAGCCACCAGCCGCCACCCCTCCCTGGCTGGCGAACGAGTGCTGCTCTGGGTCCTGAAGGCGGGAATCTGGGCTGCACTATGGCAACCACCGCAGGTGTGGGCAAGGAGCTGACGGGACCAAATGATTCTCCCTTCTCATCTACTTTCCACCCCGCCTTCTTCCCCCCCTTCCTCCTAGTTCAGTGTCCGCTATTGTATAAATCAGAGAGATCTGAGTTAAGAAGTCGGCTTTCCCCTTAAAGCGTGATTCTAAGCAAATTGCTTAACTTCTCTAAGCCTCAGTTTTTCCCTCTACAAAATGCTAATAAAAGAATAATAGCTTCTATCTTTTAGGGTTAAATGACAGAGAGTGTATATGGTGCTTGGCAAAGAGCACTCACTCAGATGGTGGCTTCTGTTACAGTTGGTCAAGAAGCAGCAGGTGGGGCCAGCCCCACGGCCTAGTGGTTCAGTTAGGTGCACTCCATTTTGGTGGCCCGGATTCGGATCCCAGGTGTGGACCTACACCACTCGTCAGTGGCCATGCCATGGCACGAACCCACACACAAAAAAAAATAGAGGAAGACGGGCACAAATTGTTAGCTCGGGGCAAATCTTCCTCATACAAAAACAGGAAGATTGGCAATAGATGTTAGCTCGGGGGGAATCTTTCCTCAGCAAAAAAAAAGAAGAAGAAGTGGCAGGAGTGTCCATGATAGAGGCTAAGAGATGTGATGGTCAGTCTTTTTAGTTGTCACTCTTTTACTTATTATCTTCATTCATTTGGGCCGCTATAACAAAAATGCTATGGACTGAGTGGCTTATAAACAACGCATGTTTATTTCTCACAGTTCTGGAGGCTGAGAAGCCCAAGATCATGGCACTGGTCCATTCTGTGTCTGATGAGAGCTGCTTCCTGGTTCACAGACAGCCGTCTTTTCTCTGTGTCCTCACTTGGTGCAAGAGGCGAGGGATCTCCCTGGGGCCTCATTTCTAAGGGCGCTGCTCCCTTCATGAGGGCTCCACCCTTGTGACCTAATCCCTTCCCAAAGGCCCCACTCCCCAATACCATCACATTGGGGGTTAGGATTTCAACATATGAATTTTAGGGGGACACAAACATTCAGTCCATAGCACTTATTTCTGTCATCAAGTCCTCATGTTTGAAAAGGGGACCCACCACCTGAGCTCTATTTTAATAAAAATCGCTTCTGTGTTAACATGTTTATGAACATTTTGAAAATCACATTCATTTTAGTTGCCGCGTATTTATAGGACATCCGTTGTGTGCAGAGCATGGTACTGGACCACAGGGGAAGACAGTGACGACCGTAGTCCTGTCCTTGAAGGTTGAACCTCGTGATCAGAGAGAGAATGCACACACAGAAAGTAGGCATGTGGTGTTACCGATGCCCAGTGCAAGGCTGGCTGAGAGGGCTTCTTCTAGTGAGAGAGTTCCAGGCCAAGCCTTTGAGGAGACGGGTGATGGCAGTGGATGGGTTGAAAAAAGGGATGAGAATATTCCTGGTGAGGCAATAATTTGTTCAAGGAAACAGAGTAGAGAATTGCCAAGTGTATAATGAAAGCAAGACAAATGAATTGATTGGAGAGGAAAGGATGAGGCTGGAGAATAAGGAAAGATAAGACTGGAAAGGAGTAAGGAATGTGCTGGGTACAGGGTGGCATGGAGCCTTGAATGATAACTGGCTGAGGACCTGGGTTGGACAAGCCGGGCTTTGGCAAGGGACTCTGAGGCTTCTCTGTGGTGTAGGTAGGAACAGAAAGGTTCTGGAGTCTCTTAGGTGGTCTCGCAATTGAAAAGGAGGCCATTTCTTCCAGGCCAGTATCTCCAGGACTTGTCTAGTCGTGCCGAACTGTAAAATCATTGAGATGGCACTGCTGGACAGAATGCCCAAGGGGCAGTGTAGATACAGAATACCAAGGAGAGCTGATCAGAGACAGACCTTCATGGAAGAGGCAGGACATAAACTGGAAATGCAGCTAGCAACATATTTTATTTTTTCAGTTTGGTTAAGGGGCTGCTGATGATTGTTGCTTTTCTGGGTTTTCCAAAGGGTTCGAGGTTCAAACACAATCATAAATAGACTACGCCCACCCAGGCATGTGTCAGGGCGTGGAGTTCTGGGGCCACGGGCATTTATTTGAGAATTATGTTTCACAAGGGCTCACCGTTGTGTCCCCATCTGTTCCAGAGCAAATGAGCCCCTTCCATAGCCGCTGATCTCTCGGCCCTTCTGCTGAGCCCAGAGCAAAGATGCTGATAAGTGCCAACTCTGACAGGTGGTTTCCCCGTCTCCTTGGTGATGTGCACAGCTGCTCTCGAGAAACTGGAATGAGACCCACTCATTTCATTCAGGGTGCTGAGCATCTGTCACATGGTAATGACATTTGGTCCCCAGCGGTCCTGGCCCAACGTGAATTGGCTGACCTAGACTACCCTCCCGAATCTCTTTTAAATGAATCCTTCACTTCGCTCTGAACTTGGGCCTCCCTGATTCTGGGTCCCTCTATGGACAGCCTAGTGCTTTTAGGGAGCTCTGAAATCCCTTTTTCTGCCTTTGCCACATTAATCTTTTAATTCTTTATGGGGAAAGGCAGCTTCTAGGACAGATGTCTTTTATTGCACAGCCCTGAGAATTGGCTCAAAGAAGGACACCTTGGGACTGGCCCCGTTGCCTAATGGTTAGGTTCAGTGTGCTCAGCTTCTGCCACCCCCAGTTCAGTTCCCAGGCGTGGACCTATACCACTCATCAGCCGGTATGCCGTGGCAGCGACCCACACACAAAGTGGAGGAAGACTGGCACAGATGTTGGTTCAGGGCCAATCTTCCTCACCAAAAAAATTTTTAAAAAGGACACCTCAAAATGTGTTAAATAGCGACTTTTTCTATAAGGCTCTGTTTTTGTTAGAGTGAGCAATGGAAGATATTATTGCCTTTATTTTCTGTCCTGCATTTGGG